ATTGAGTATAATCTTAACTATTATTTAAGAAGCATATTTAGTGCAAAAATCTGATGTGTCATTACCTTAACAAAAGCTAGTGTAAATTAATGGTGACATGAAAATATGACATGACAAATTTCTTAAAATAAACGAAATATTTTGATTGGTTGAATTATAAACAAATTATAAAATTATATCATAAATACACTAGATTATAACACTAAAATAATAAATTTAAATTAACAGAAAATAATAATTGCTATGATTTAGATTTGTTTTTATATATATTCATAATAGATTGCATAAAATATGATTACGAAAATTTTACAACCAATATATATTTTATATTTTTATATAGAAAAGTAATAATAGATTATTCAATAAGATAGTATATATGTTATATATTAATAATGTTGGGAGTATGATATATTATTATTTGTATATTAATTTTTTGACATTTTTATATTATTGTTTTTTCAAATTTGTGTAGCTTACATTACCATCTCATTTTATCTCTTATCATTTTCTAAAAATAAATTAAAATTTTAAATCATACTCATATACAGTCTCATTGTAGATCAAGAATTTGAGATCAGAAATAAAATGCAATGTAACTGAATTAAAAAAATAAATTATAAATAAACAAAAACAAATATGAATAAAAAGTAGAAGTAAAAATGAAAATAAATCTCTACAGTTTTGTTGTAACAATCTCAAACTTTGTTTTACAGTGTCATTTAAAAATCTTAAGAAAGAAATTTTATAATAAATGTATGTGTGGCTCAAATTTTATAATGAACATATGCGTGCAGACCAACCATAAAAAATTTATTTTTTTCAACAAACCAATTCTTCAATATTGGACAAAGAGATGAGCGGAGAGCTACCAGAGATTTTATAAAATATATATTCACAAATTTTATAAAAAAATATATATTATAAATTTTATTTGATATAAATAAACATATGAATAAGAAATATAAGTAAAAGTAAAAGTAAATCTGAATCTTTATGACTTTCATTTTTTGTAAAAATCTCAGGATATATCTTTGGTTTAAAGCATCTCTAACCCACATTTATTTTAAATGTTCTAATTTAGAGGATAAATAGTGATGTTATTTTTTCTTCTATATTTGGAGGAAAAAGTAACAATCTTTCTTTTTTCTTTAAAATAGAAATAGGTTGGACAGAAATCCACCTATATTTTAAAAAAAAAAATAGAGATGATCTTAATGTTTAATATATTATTCAAGGTTAAAGAAAACAAAAATGACTCAAAGAAGACAAAAAGAATAATTTTGATCGACTTTATATTTTTATTTTGAAATATTTAAAAATATTTTCTTACACATATTAATTCTTTCATGCATATATTTTTTTCAATATAATAAAACATTATATCATGAATCGAGTTTTGTATATGTTATGACCCATCATTATATATATGATTAACACATATATCAAATTTAAGAACAGAAGAGCTCTTATTTTTAATATAATAATTAAATATTAAATACATTATTTTACCCCTTCAACTATACATATATAAGTTTAGGATCCGCTGGTTTAAACGCTGCGGTTACAGAGAATTTGTGGAAGCGAGCGATTGCAGGCTATAAAAATTTGATGAAGAGATGAGTGAAGAGCTATCGGAGAATTTTATAAAATAAGAATTCACAAATTTTATAATAAAATTTTATTATAATTTGTATTCAGAAACCATATATCATAAAACGCTGAAAAATAAGAAATTTTGATTAAATACAAAACAATAGAAATAGTTTTAGTGATTGTTGTTAAACGCCAAAAACTGTATCGTGTAAAATTATAACGTTTGCAAAAAATATCAGAAAAACTATCCAACACCTAAACATTACAATTCACTTATTTATAACTCATACCTATATGCATAAATACACATATTTTTTTTTATAAAAAATCAATCATACATTATAAAAATATATATTACAAAACAGATATTTAGTTTTTTTTTTAATACATAAAAGCCATACTTTAATTTTTTCACAAATATGCGTGTAGATATAAATATTAATGGTGCAAAAATCAAAGTCGCATGCAAACTTGTCGTGCATACATTTTCTTAAACTCGATTGCTGTCCAATTATAATTTTAGTTATTAGTCAATTTGTATTTATTAAAAAAATCGATATATGTCCTTAGAGCGGTGAGGTGGTTGTTATGCAAGAATGTGCGGACCAACCATCTACCTGCTCTTAGAATAAATAGTGATGGTAAAATTCATTTTGGTTTACGTAGCAATAGGTCAAGGAAAAAATATATATTTAAAATATATATATTGACAAGATTATATTGTGCAGGGGAAAAAATATAATATAGATAATATTCAAAACATATTATAAGAATTAAATTATTATTTAATATAAATTTTATATTTGCAATTATATGTTACTCTAAACGCTAGAAAAAAAAGTTTTCAAAGACACAAAATAATATGAAACGTTTGTGTGACTGTTGTTAAATACTAATATTGTATATGTAGAAAAACGTAATGCTTACATAATAAATTTTCCAAGGACATAAAATGATATAAAATATTTGTATGATTGTTGTTAAAACACTAAAACTGTATATATATGTATATATATGTATAAAAACATAACGCTTACATAATCTATAAGAAATTAATCAATAGTTAAATATTACAAGTAGTTATGTCTATAAAAAAATTATACTTGCACATGGGTGCAGACCAACCATACAAATTAAATAAATTATTATATACTTTTATATTTTCTGTTTATTTAGTTATCATATTTACACTTTTTATTTAATGAAGTATTTTAAAAATCTGGGTTAATGTTTTTTTTTTATCTTCAATTTCTATTGAAATCTATAATATTTTTCATTTGATTTATTGTTATTTTTATTATTAAATATTTATATAATGTTATTATTAATACATAATTAATCATATACAGATAAAGCATTTTCAATATATAATATTAATCATATATTTAACATATAAAATATTTTATAGCCCGTATACGGTGTGGACCAATCACCTCGTTTCTATTTATATAAGATCTAAATATAATTATAAAATTATAATGTATTTAAAGACCATAAATGAATCAAGTTTGAATATCAACAAAATATCAAACCTTTCAAAATCAATAACTAGAAAATAGAAATATATTAAAATTAAGTACCTAGAAAGTTAGAATTAGAAGATTTGAATGTAAAGAAGTAAGAGTTAACCACAAATATTTTTTTATTTTGACTGAAAAATAAGATTTACATTTTTTATTTATTTATATATAGATATTTTTATAAATATTATACTTTAAATTCATGATTTTAAGTTAGTAAATGATAAAGATAATTAAATCTAATAATAAAATATAGAATTAAGCTAAATTATAAACTAGAAAAATATAAATTATTTAAAATTTAGTTCTATGATCGGAAAAACTTTTTGGTTTGACAATTTTTAGCCAAACCTAACCTAACCAAAACTATAAAAAAATAATAATAACCAAATAAGCTTTTAAGTTTAACTATAATTCCAAACTATATCACTTTTTTTTTTGTTTGATATAGTTTAGTTTTTTTATTATGGTTTTTTTTTCCCACCTCTAGTATTTTCCATTAAGCAAATGTGGAAAAGAAGATTTATTAATCAACATCTTTGTATTATGTGCTCTATCCAGAACACCGACATATACATATATAAACTTTATATCAAAGTTAGATATAGCAAGAATAGTCATTGTAGGCTTTCGATTTTTACCATTATATATATATCTGCAGTTTGACTAGGAAGACAATATGTTTACTTTGATACCATATTAGCTCAAGAGTGGAAGATTGCAATACACTCTTTTTACCAAAAAAAAAAAAAAAAAAAAGACAGTATGCAATACACTAAAAAAATCAATGAACAAAGTAAATCAAAATGAGACAGAGAATAGTAATTGAAGCACAAAATTCCACAATAAATAAATCAAAAAACAAATCAAAAATTAAAACTCTATAGAAACAAAAACCAGCAAACCTGAGATAAAGAGTGTTAGAATTATCACACATCGGAAGCTTGAAAGATTTGTAGACAATATAAATAGTATGAGGCAATCTTCCACTCTTGAGCTAGCTTTTAGGTGTGAGTTAAGTCCATTACTAATATGGTATCAAAGCCCAAGTTATACTCAACTGTCTTGATTGTGGCCTCTACTCGTGATTATATTTCACGCTTCAGACTTAGAGTTCTGAGCGTGAGGGGGCGTGTTGAAATTATCACACATAGGAAGTTTGAGAGATTTGTGGACAATATAAATAATATGAGGCAATCCTCTACTCTTGAGTTAGCTTTTGGGTGTGAATTAAGTCTGTTACTAATAAAGATCTACTAAGCTTGACTTCAGGAAAATGGAATTGAATTTTGGTGAATTTGAGTTTCGACAAAATAAAAAGTAATAATAAAGTTAATTTTGTTTTCTACAGGTTTATATCGTAACAATATTTGACACAATGCTAAATTTATTTGGCCGCCAAATAAATTAGACCTTGGTCACAGCGATTGGTTGCAGTGTTTGATCGCATGATGCTGCGATAAGTAAACAAACACCGTTTGACCGCATGCCACAGCCGCACCCTCTAGGCAAACGAACAGACCCAACGTGTAAATTGAGCATATCATTTCATCACCAAATTATTTGTTTGAAATGAAAAATCTCCACAATTTTATGGTTGCGTGCATACACAATTCTTTATGGTTTTGAATGCATGCGCAATTTTATTTGGTTCTTATGTGCATACTGAAAACATATTCTGATATTCACATTATATATAAAAAAAAAATGGTTCATAAAATAATTTTTTTTGGTTCGCATCTAAACCTAGACGCACTTGGAAACTGAAATAAAACCAAACACGAAAGCTGAATCGGATTAAGATGGAACTGTTGATCCCACTGGTTGATCCAAATCACATGTGCAATTCTATACATTTCAACCTCACGAACCATATTCATAAGCTCTAGAATCTTTTGATCCTTGGATAAGTAATCATGTACAAATATAGTTACGATCTATTTGTTGAGACCGGAGGTGTGATCTTATACTAACTTGCTGGAGAAATGAATTATATATTGTTGAGCCAAGACAGCGCAAAATGAAAGATAATCAAGTTACCATGCAAGGAAATTAGGAAAATACAAAGAAAGCAAGAAAATGCTCTGAATTAGGCACCAAAAACGAAGCACGATTTTTTTGTTTGCCTTACTTACTTCTACGTCTCCATTCGACAATGGCTGCATAAAGAGTGTGGTTGGGCAAAAGGTTCACGTTCTGTAACGGAGAATTAGTCACCGGAGAAGTACGATGTTCCTCCATCCACTTCTCTATGGCTCTCCGGTCATAAGTATACCCATCAGCCGCAACACATGGCTCATTCATCACATCCTGCAAACAAAACAACAACATTCTTCTCTAAGCTAACCGAACTTAACTTCTCTTGCAAGCAAGGCATATGACGTAACAAACAAGTTATTAATTATCACCTGAAGTAATGGGCAGATGAAATGGCTTGGAGGTTGGCTCGGCGCATCGGAAATCGTTTTTCTTGCTTTATAAGCTACCTTCTTCAAGGTCTCCAACGTTGGAAGAATCTGATTCTCAAGATCAGGCCTGTCTTTAGCACGGATCTCAGTACAATAGAGGGCTAAAGCTGCTAATTGTCGAGTTTCTTCGATTGGCCAATCGCCCGCTTTCTTATCAAGAATCTGTATTAACTCCTCGTCGTCGTTGTTCTCCATGGCTATTTCTACCGTATAAGTTAGTGCTATAGCCGGTTGAGCTGTCAGAAGCTGCAAAATGATCATTCCAAAAGCATAAACGTCTGATTTCGGAGATAACATCCCGGTTCGTTGATATTCAGGATCGATGTAGCATAATGTTCCCACGGGGCTTGTTTGTTTGTACATTGTGAATTTGGTTGATAAAGGATCGACTTGGATCATTGTGGAGAGACCTACGTCTCCTACTTTGCTGACAAAGTTGTGGTCAAGCAAAATGTTGGCCGGTTTAAGATCACGGTGGATGATCGGTGTCGGTTTTGATTTGTGGAGGAAGACGAGCGCTGATGCTACTTCCCAAGCGATTCTAAACCGGACAAACCATGGGATTGGTTGACTATTGTTGACTTGGAACAGTCTATCATCCAAGCTACCGTTTTCCATGTACTCATAAACTAAAGCTCCACGCTCAGGGCATGCTCCTAGAAGGAGAACCAAGTGTGGATGCCTGATCTTGCTCAAGATTTCGAGCTAAGAGAGAATGAAAATATGTTAGCTTTTTCAAGAAAGGAGAAAATTTGCGAAACAAGAAATACTTTAGGGTTGTGTAGGTACCTCTTGATCGAATTGCTTGGATAGGTTACTTTCAGCGGAATGCAACACTTTGACAGCAGCGATTGTATGATGAAGATTGCATTTGTAAACATCCCCGTAAGCTCCCATTCCAATCTTTAGATCTTCAGAGAATGATGAAGTTGCCGTGATGATTTCTTCCCAAGTGAACTCTTGGTATTGTAGCTTAGGAGCTACAATGGAACATTCTTCAAGTTTCTTCTCCTTCTCTTTGGATTCTCTTCTTTGTGAAGCTTCTGTCTCTTCTTCCCTTCTCTTCTCCTCAAACTTCTGTGTATCCTTTTCTGCTTCAATATGCTCCTTCAGCGTTAGCTCTTCAAGCTGAAGCTCATTTAGCTGAAACCATTAAGGAGACAGACACAAACCAATAGCTAAGAAACTCCATCAAGTACATTTTTATACAATTTTTCTAGGGTTTCTTCAAGTGTACCTTGCGAGAAGCGTCAAAGGTCTCTACTTGAGCCATTGCATACATGTCTTGAGCATGTCTAAGTTCAGCTCTCAGCTTTGCAATCTCTTCGAGCGTGTGCTGAAATCAAATGAAAAGACCTATCATTCCCAAATGCTTTCGGGTTTCACAAGAACCTTTTTAAGAACAACAATCTTATCAAACTTAAGTTACGTACATTTGTGAAATAATCTTCAACTTGAGTAACATTTCCGTATTCACGGTTGCTAGAAACAGAACTCGTATCGTATTTCCTCTCATCAAAATCTCTAAACCGTTCGTTCCAAGAAACATTATGCGATGTGTCAGGGCTACTTCTCTTGCTTGCTTCCTCTAAAGCATCCGAAGACATACTTCTAGTTTTTTCTGACTCAGCAGAACTAGATTCCATACGACCAGAAACACCTCTTACTACCGTCGGAAGATGTTGCAATCTCTTATTGGACAGTGTAAGAGATTTGGATTTAAGTGCATTTGATAATGAATCTAAACAATGTACAAAAAAATTATTAGACTCACGAATCATACTTACATACATCAGTTTCTTGTTAAAGGTTGAAAGAAAGCTCCGAACCTGAGATAGGTCCTGAACCAGAAGAACAGCTAGAGGAATCTGTTCTCTCGCTACCATAATCTCTTGAAGTTTCATTCCTCTCAGAGTCTGAAGATACTTTTTCTTTTGAAAGAATATAGACTCCTTTTGAGACAACATATACTGTGCAAAAGTTTTGCACATATGCTGATATCATCGTGGTAATATCACATTTCCTGGAATTGTTTCAACAAATATATCTATTCATGGAGAAAACAAATCTTTGCAAAATCAGATTATAAAAAAAAAAACCGGAAATATAATGTCTCAAGCCATACATTGACGATGCACTATCAGATGAGCGTCCAATGAAAAGCCTACTGATCAAATGCTGATTAATTTCTTTGGTTATCGCCATTGCAACACTATTTGATTCCAGCACTTGAAGTTCCACTGCAACCTTTTGTTAACAAGATCCAAAACTATAAGATATGTGGTAAAGGAATATCAAGAAAGACAAAAGAAACACAAGAGAACCTTTTTCTTCTCGCACATCTTCTTGAAAGGTTTTAGAAGAGTTTCTTTAGTTTCCTCCATAACTTTTCGTCTATAAGTAGCCGCCACATCCTCTGGTGCCTCGGCGATAGAGACTACGTTCCCCGCTAAGGAAGGTTAACAGAAACCACTATCAGGCACTTACAAGTAGTCCACATAAAGTCTTAGGCAGAGAATAGATCTTCTTGGAACTTACAAGGTGTGGGTAGTGAAGTAATCTTTGGATGGATGTGAATCAACTTGAAAATGACATTTTTCTCAGAAGCAAATTTTTTGAGCGCCCACTTAACTACATTATTGCTTTTGGTGCTCCCACTAATAGCTATCGCAATAATGGACTGTGGTTGCGAAGGAGAAGCAAGATCAGAGCCGGCCTTCGTAGGAAGTTTGCTAAGCACTGGCTTCTGGGGCATAATTGATTTCTTGAAAAAAGCGTCCATTTTATTCTTTTATCTATGAAAAATAAAGTTGCTAATTTTGGAAATGTCAGGACCAGCTTTGCGCAAGATGGTCGGCAGCGGTTCTACTACTCATCGCTTGGTATATCTTTACTCCAACCAAAATGAGATGCTAGCAATCTGTATCATTCATAACATGAATCAAGATACTTGAGCAAAACCAAATCAAAATCAAGATCAACCGAGGGAGAATAGACAAATTGATAACACATTTTGCTGAATAAGAGTTTAAGGTATCGACAAAATCTTGATGTCAAAGAAGAGAGTGCATCAATCAAGAAGATGCTTTGAATATTAATAATCTAAAGCTCTCAGAATTTAAAATCTAGACATCACAATGCCACATTACCAAGTCAAGAAAAAAAAAAACCAAGAAACCCATCAAGCCAAACATGATCATAATCTCTAATAAACAAGAAAAAAAAAAGTCACACATTTGACCTACCTGAAACTCAAACTCAAGCCGAAAGAGAGAAGTTGTTGTGGCAGAAGAAGAAAGCTTTGTTTCTCTCTCGGTTTGACATCTTGAAGAAGAAGAATAAGAGAATGGAATCTTCTATTCTCACAAAGAGCAGCCACGTTCGTGCTCCTAATTTCTGAGACAATCAAGTCCTTTGAATAACCACAGAATCTTATAAAGTTTTTTAAATTATGATTACTAGTACTATAAAATTAAGATAACTAAGTCATGAAGGATCACGCTTGTTATTTACTACTCTCTTGCTCACGCCAGAATTTTCCTTCATTTTATCTAAGTGATAGAGAAGAGGCTCTTAAATTAAGTTAGTTGTTTATTTTCTTCAAGGACTTTAATTATATTCCTTTAGTAATTTAATTATGGTATGGTCATAGTGTCTACAAAGAAATTGTGTATATGCATTCCTCAAACAATCTTATGAAAGGATAATTTGGTAACAAGATTTTTTTTTAAGGTTTGGAAAACGTCTGTTTCGGAAACTAATATTTATTTATCTGTGACCAGCTGGAAATACCTTTTCAAAAATATTTATAAAGTATATCATATCATCGATAAATAATTTTTATAAAATGAAACAGATAATTTTCTTACTTCAAAAAATATTCAGTAAAACTTCTATAAATTAATAATGTTGGAACCTTGAAGATTTATAAAAGGATTATTTATTTATAGTAATTATTAATTTATAAATATACTTAGTTGATAAATTAATTTTAAAACTGATAAAAAATATTAATTTATCAAAATATTATTGAATCAAATATTAATTTATAGAGGTTATTTTATATATCGTATAACATCATGATTCATGGCATGATGTTCTTCTCTTTATCAACAGCATTCTCAGTATTGCCAATATACAATGAACTTTTGGTGACTTTCTGCATTATCAAAGGGAAAATCTTCATAAGTATCTTCAGTGATGTGACTATTAATTGTTCATTAGAGTAAAATCGAGTAAAAGGAACATATAATTTGAACGTATTAATCTATTTATTTGAAATATGACAACATTATTTATTTGATTAACATTTGTCATTTTGTCTCATGTTACTTGAAATGTGGATGATAAAGTACATGATTCGCTAAAAATTATATGCACCGTCAAGTCCCAATAAAGGTAAACAAACAAAATATTCGATCGGAAGACTATAGTTGCACGCTTAATGCAACAAACAATAGATATCCCTGCATACTTGGTAATGTCAAATATCATGCCGTTCGAAAAACAAGCCTTTATGAATGCTTTTACTATGATTTGTGAAAAATCTAATCGAGATTAGAGATTAGAAGTACATATAAGAGAAAAATGGTATAAATAACATAGTCTATATAGCATGTTGTAAAGTAATAATCTTTTTTTTTGAACTTTATAAAGTAATAAACTTAAATGATTAATATACATCTTCTTGTCGTTGACAATATATATATATATATATATATACATAGTTATGCCATGTGTATATAATCCTTTTGCATGCCACTTCAAATGCAAATATTACAAATTGAGACCATATAAAACAAAAGAAAAAAAACTCAATTCACAGATAAAATATATTATATGGTTTATCTACTAATACAATTTTAATTATCACCAAAAAACTAAAATGATAAACCTAACATATGAATAATAAAAGGTTTTTATTTTGAACCAATTAATGTAAATTATTATTATTATTAGTTAAAATATTCCTTCTATCTAACTATTTAAGCCCTCTATTTATCTATTTAAGAATTAAAATTTGTGTATTTTCTAACTCTTACTATATTATAATGAATTTTGTTTTCATCTTTTTTAGTAGACATGGAAGTATTTCAAAAATGCTCACAAGATTCCAATTCACTTATCTTTGTGAGGTTTAGTTCTTGTAATTGTAAATTTATCACAATATTTTTATGTATATATAATGTTATATATACTTATTTGGTTGCCCTTAGTTGCACCCATGATCTATCTTGTCCTCACGTCTTTTTTAGTTTTGACTTTCCCTATAATATGGGTTATGTGTCAATGTGAATGTGTAGTCTAATTTTCTTTCTTTTAACAATCTTCGGTCAACAACACAATCCAATGATATATTCAGAAAGTGCAAAGTGATCATATTATATATATGAAGAGTATATTTTACCCCCGGAAGAAAGTATATAATTAATACACTTTAGAAATAAACAGATGAGAAGAGACAAAAAATATAACATATATGCTAGGCTGTATGTGGACATTTACGCGAACAATCAGATATATACAAGAATAAGATACAAAAAAACTGGCGAAGATGTATCTGGACAATTTCAACAATATCACGTACAAGAATTAAGTTCATTGAACAAGACTTAGCACCAGTCTCATGTACTTAATTATCATATTGGCCGAAACCTAGTAAGCCACGTAAGGCCCACTCTAAGGGTGTGCCACCTGTGCAGTAGCTCTACGCCACTATATTCAGTTCTTCAAATGAACAAGAGTAACAAAAATACTCTTAATCTTTACCGCTTAATCGTCAACGTACAATGTTCACAGATACACGAATTTATCCAATTTAATAATCTTTCAATATCCAATTAATTCATCAATTTACAACATTACTGATATTTCTATCAAAAATCAAAAAAGTTAAAGAGGAAAACATCTTGTTGTGGAGCCCATTTCAGTATCACTCCTTTCTCGTTAAGCCTTTACATATTGCCTCAATCCATTCTATGCCATCGACCGAACCAAACCGTACGACCCACAGAAGGGTTTGTCAGTGTTCCGTAGACCACAAGCAATCTCCAAAAAATCTGATTTACTTATGGTTGCAACGCTCCCAAAACAACTCACGTAAATCACGGATTTGTCTTTTTGCTTGACTAGCCATGGAATGCAAGTCTCGTCCTCTGTATGTAAGCTACTATAAGAAGCCGGGAAGTGGGTATGAGAAAGGTTCTATCGCGAAGATCGGAACTTGAAAATCTATACGTGTCTTTCTTAGTGAGTCTTGGTCAACTTCTTCACATGACATGAATATGAGACCTGAAGATGCCTTTATGGTTTCATAAATCATACTCAAGTACGCATTTAGTAAGCTCCGTTTCCCCGTCGAAACGGCGAAATTGTAACGACTCAGTTTTACAAATCAGACCCGTTTGGAAAATTCATCCTGACTAAGACGGTTTAAGCTTATTTCCTATATATTTCTTGATATTTTATTTTTCTTTCGAGAAATAATTAATTCTTGGTTTAGATAAATATTACATTTTTAATATGATATTAATGAACTTTTCCTAAAAGAATTGTGAATATTCTTATTCATAATTATCCTTTCCTTTTTCGTGGTTATTTTTACTTTTTACCCAAGTCTCTCATTGGGTATAAATAGAGAGCCCTTCCCATTCTTTTTCTTCATTCTAAACTTTCCAGAAAACAGAGAAACCCTAGAACTCTCTTCTCTCTCTTTTTCGGCGCCGTAATACTCTCTCTCCGCTGTTTTCTCTCTCTTCTTCCTTTCTCTCTCTTCACCGTTTCCTTCACTCTCTTCACCATGTCCTGCCGTTCATCATCACCGCCCTCTGGTGATCGTCCCAGCCGCTCTCCGGAGCAGCCATCACCGTCCGTCGCCGTGGTGGAGCAGCCGCAAGTCCACTACCTTCGGGATGGATCCGTAGCCGCCCCTTCCAGCCACCCCGCCCCGGTGTTTCACGTTGATGACAAATCGGAGTCCTCCCGGAGCCATGCGTCGCCGCCGCATCACCCCCGGAGATCGATCAACCCTGCGTGGTTAGCCGCCGTGGAGCATCTCGCCTCCTTCTCTTCTCCTTACCTCTCCTCGCCACCTCCTTCGCCACCTAGGCCAAGGTGAGGATGAATCTGTGCTTGAATATCGTGAACTCTGCTTTCCTGAATGCATAGTTTGGGGTTAAACCAAGCATAACCTACTTTCTGCTTTAGAACTGATTCCCAGCTAGGTCTTGTTAGGTTGTTGTTTGCTCTGTGAATCGCCTAGATGTGTTTAGGGTTTTGAAACTGAAGTTGCAGAAGACTTAAAACGAACATTTACTTGTGCTTGAAACACCTTGCTTGTTTGATTGCTGTTTGGATCTTTTCTGTGATTGTGTGATCGCCTAGAACTTTTAAAGAGGATAGGAACTTAATACGGTATTGTGTAAAATCATTATTGAGACTATGTGTTGTGAAATGTCTGAGATGAGAGTTGAGATCATAAGGCAAAGGAGTCGTGGTCGATATACTTGAGTGGAGGACTATTGTTTGGGGTCCGAGATGGATGGTTGAGATTAGCAATGCTTGGGGCTGCAATCGATACACTGAAGTTGAGGATAGTCGCTGAGCCATGTGGGCAATATGCGAGGGGGTACTGAGGGACCTGACATCACATGGGGCTGTTCAAAAGGGTTCAGCGTATACTCATGTGGTATGGGAGTAATGGCTATACGTAGAGCTCTCAAGGTATGGCAGACGGGCTAGTCGTGTAGCGACTTTAAATCTACGGAGGATACAACCCAAGTGCCACAGTGTAAGTCATCAATGCTAGGTTATTGTGTGAAGTCTTTAGGACTTTCTATGGTGCTGTTTTAGGCTTGAACTTAGCATTTGTTAAGTTGTGGTGCATTGATAGGATAATGTAGGTTCATTCTCCTGGGTAATCTAAATTACTCACCCCTCCAGTCCCCTATCTTCTCTCTCTCGATCCCCTCTAGCAGGTTAGGTGAGTCATGATGCTTCAGTATCACAGGTGGTGTGGAGTTGTTTGTTAAGCAAGGCGCCTTTGGTTTCTGGGACTTGTAAAGAGGGTAACGCGTTTGGCTTCTAGCGCAGGTGGTTATTTTGACATTGCTGGTTCGGTTTATATAACCGGGATCGGGTGTCACAAGTTTGGTATCAGAGCCAAGGTTAAGACTCTTCGGTTTTGTCCCAAGGGGTCAATCCTAAAAAGTTTTAGTGTTTGCGAATCCTTTGTGCGCACTTGACTTGCTTTACAACTGTTATGACTCACACCTAAGCATACTTGACATCTGCCTCTTAGCTTTTTCTTTCCCGTGCCAAACAGGGCTCATACCCGCGAGACAGCCTGGAAACGGACCACTCCGATCTACATGGTTCCTGCTAGACTCGCCCGACCAGCTCAGAAGATGCCAACCCGGGAGGAGGTGAACACCTGTGCTGCGCTAGCAACAGACGTGCTCAGGGCTGTACAAGATCGGGGTTCGTGTCGATCCTCTTCTGGTAGAGTGATGG